GAGAAATGTACTTAATTAGTATTAGTGATGGTGGCAGGTCCTGTGAAGCCGGGAAGCATCCGGAATTAAAAGGCTTGAAATTACTCACTGGACCATTGCCCTCGCAGTCAGGCTCATCAGTGCTCTTTGTTGCAAACAGATCTCTTCCCTTTCTAGACTTGCAATTTGGGATCTCTTTTGGCTTAGCAACTCACACTTTCCCAGATGTAATTTTACTGAAAAAATAATTTGCATATGCTTCATTGTGACAAAAGAAATGCGTGCTTATTGTAGAAAACTAAAATTCAGTTAAGTAAACAACAACAACAAAGCAAGCTAAAACGTTGACACTCCCATCTACCTAAGGGCAACCATGTTTAACCCGTTGGTGTGTATCTTTCACACCCCCTTCTGTGTAGTGTGTTTGTGCATGAATTTTAACTACAGGGCAGCAAAGTCAATTTTAACAAGTATAAAGGCAGTAATTAATGAAATAGAAAACAAAACCCAGTAGATCTGATTGGGACAGCCAAAGGCTTATTCTTGAAAAAGACTGGTAAAACAGATAGATCTTTATTGGTCTCCTCTGAGGGAAAAAGAGAAAAACACACAGGTGAACAACACTTGCGGTAAGAACAAGGAAGTAACTAGACTGAGGGAGATCACAAATCTAAGAGAACACAATGTTTGTAAACGCTACCAAAAAGATCCTGGGAAAATGCTTGGTGACTGGTGGAAACATGTGGAAGCAGTCTACTAACAATGAGGAATCCACTCCATTAAATTTGGGCACTTTTATCTTAAGGTCAAGGTCCCAGGGTGTGGCCCCGGGCAGGTGGGTGAAGGTGGTGGCTGAGGGATGGTGGCCAAGGATGGAGGAGAGTTCAGCCACATTGAGGGTTTGTTCGTGCACGACTAGATAGACCAGCATGTGCTCTGCAATGCTCATGACCGCATTCAAAGCCCGCCTTCAACATTCTAGAAAGGTTCAAATTCTGCATTAGCAAAGAAATCACAGATCAAACTCCTGAATCATTTGCAGCCATTTTTTATTCCAAACGTGTATTTTTGTAAACCTGCATTTCCCAAACAGTGCAAGTGAATTAGAAGTGACTGCATAGACTTTAATACATGTGACTTTGTAAGGAGAAGCACCCCTCCCACCAAAATTCCTCAACGGAAATGTATATGGATGCATCAGTCAGGTTCTGGAAGTGAAGTTAGCGTGGGTGTCTGCCATGCAATTAATCACTCTTAAAGCTTTTAAACTCACTCTGCCCATCACACCATGCACATTAGAATTTTTTAAAAAAACCTTAACAAAGTCTGAAATCTAGATCATTGTGCTATAAAGCATTGCACCACATGGGAAATTTGTCCATTATTCCCCTAATGTGCTGAAAATCAGAAGACATTCTAGAAAGTTCATATTGGCCCTACTGGCTCTGTATCCTCCCTTCAGCCATTCTTTGTTTCAGAAAATATTCTCCACTCTGTATACCACCCCTCTAAATAGCAGAACAAAACATCCCGGAAACCCCTGTCCATTGGAACATTTCTGAAATGACACTCACTGCCCGCCTTCTGTCTTCTACAGGGCCCTTTCCCTGCATGACCGTCCTTTTGCAGCGCCTCTAAATTCCGGAAGTTTGAGTCAGGGATAGTAGGTTTCATCAGATGCACATTTCCGACATGACTTATGTGTAACTGCATTCCCCTGGCCATCATGCCTTTTTCAAAAATAATAGTCGAATAACCTTTAAAAAATGACCCTGCTAGGGTTTTAACAGGTGGCATACAGCACACATATCATGGGGGATCTTTTATATTTCCCCATTGAAAGCAGGTCCCGGATGTTCCTGCTAGTTTTCTGTTGGCTTTTAATCCCTTTGGTAGGCTATGCGTGACTCGGTGAAGGAGGACTATTGCATTTTCTACAACATGTACCAGACTTTGGAATCCTCCTGGTGATGGAATTTTCCTGAAGAGCTGACTGAAAGAGCAGATTCCTGATGTGTGCCTGTCAGTCCCCATAAAATGGACCCACTCCCTTCTAGCGCCTCCTTGTTCCTAACTTCATGGCCTCTTCTTGGTGACAGGTCTAGCACTCAACAGTGCAGATGTTCCCAACTCATGAGTCCCGTTATCAACGAAGTAGAAGAGAATCATTTTTGAACAGAGGGCAAGATTTTCCTCAATTTTGACCAAGGTCCTTTTTCATATTTAAAAACCGTCTCCGTATTTCTGACAGCAAAAACCATACTGAATCCGTAACTAAAAGCGGCAGCAGCTGTGAGAGAGAGTATCTGGTAGGATTCCACAGTGGACCTGTACAAGTGGGAAGGTTAGAAATTGGAACGTGCTACAGACTTTTAAAAGAATATTCTGGAGGAGTAATGCACAGATGCCATTCACCCTGTCTGCTTCCCCGGAGAACCTACTGACAGCTTCTGAGCTGTCCATGGAGCTGGTAAGATGTCCCGCTGAGAGAGGGCTCACAGTGTGCTTGGCTGCTTCATCACCGTGTTAAAGCGTTCCCTGTTGACTCACCTGTTACTCGGCCCCATCTAACACACAGAAGCACCAGCCTTCCCCAGACAGATTCCTGGAGTCGTTGCCAAAGTTTGCTTCTGGTGATGCCAAGGCCATTTTTTTTTTTTTTAAACTGCCTTATGAAGTCTTCGTGATCTCCTGAGTATATGACTACTCACGTGGGTCTACTATTTGGAATGGATCAGAGGCAAAGAGATCCTGGCTCCGAGACTGCCCACAGGAGCAGAGTGAGTCACCCTCTAGCCCACCCCCAGTGCGTCTGCCCTCCCTTGTGGGAAGCTGGTTAGTGGCTATAGATGCGCTTGTCCGAAGCTGCTCATGGCGCCGATCCAGGCTTGCCACCGGAGAATCTTCAGGGGGTTTATGAAAGGACAGCGTGACACGGTGAACGAGAATCCATCGCAGGAAAGCTACACGTGGGGTCTCCTAAAGGAATCCACACTCCGCACTCTTCTTGAAGGGAGGTCTGGCTCTCCAGGCAAAATGTGTCTGCAGTGTTCTCGGGGGAACTTGCATTTCTGATGCCCTGCAGGGGCCCCGTAAGAATCCTCGAAATGAGTGACTAAGACCCACTCAAAGCTGCCCTTACTACTTTGGAGGGAAGTCTCAGGTGAACTCTCAGGTGAACTTTGCCTGCATCTGCCCAGCAGTTACCTCTCTGCCTCCATCCCTCCGTTAGGAGCAACATCCCTGACTTCATTCTAAGACCTGCCTCATTCATGCCACGGACCCTCTGGCGTGGCCATCTCTTCCCATATTCACCACGAGGGGTCACATAATACATACACCATCTTCCTGCATCAGAGTCAGCTGCGTAATGAGGCAAGAAAAGAAACTCATGTTCCATGCCGGGTTCACAGCTGTCCAGGATTCCTCCTGATTCTGCCCAAGCATGAGACGTCTTTGCAAATATGAGCTGAATACGGGCACAGAAAATCTGTCTCCTCTCTGGAGTGGAGTTCTGTGTTTTTGCACCAATGTTCGCATACCCCAACATGTTAGTTTCCAGCAAAAGCAACCCTGTGAGAAAGATCCTTCATCTTTCTTGTTTCATTCCCACTTGATGCCGTTTGTTAGGTACTGGGGGCCTCCATGGGCCGTAATAAGGGGCCGTAATGAGAGGACTCTGTCAGACCCTGCTCTTAGCCACGTTTTTTCTTTTGGCAGATGGTTTGTGGGGACGGCAGCCAGAGCTGCCCCAGTCACTGAGTGTTCACGATGGACCAGGCGCAGTGCTGAGCACACTACACCCGTCGTGTCATCGCCCTTTAAGAAAATCACCTTGCACTCTGAACCGGGCAGCAGTGCGTCTGATAATACACACTGTCAAATGGGGAGACTGGAACCGAAGGCCACAACTCAGCATTCGCACACTCAGGGGCAAGGCGCATGTCAGTGCTATGCTCAGATCCCTGTGCATCCTTTCTTTCACATTGTTTCTGGAAGTCCCCCAAGGGTGGGGGCTGGGTGCATTTCCAGCTCTCCTTTAGAGGACCACCTTTGGGCTATCGGAGCCGGTCTGCCAGCAGGAACCGAGAGTGGGACGTTGAAACCTCCTGTGGGTGCAAGAATTTGAAAGCTCAGCTTCCTTGCCTCAGTTTGGGTCCGCTCCTCACGGGATCAGGCTGAAGCTGCCCTCCACGGGATGTCCTCTGAAATGGCACCCTCACCTGGTTTCCTCTCCTTTCCTATCCTGCTTCCCTCACACCCCTACTGCTGTCTCCTGGGCATGGGACTCTCCCTTAATCAGTTGCTTGCATACAAATCCTTGTATCAGAGTCTGCTTTTTGGGAACGGCACTTCAAACCCTATTTTAAAAACAAAGGACAGGTTGAATGGTCATCTCTGGGAAGGGATCCGCAGTCACCATGAGCTGGGACAGCAGGAATGGCAGGGAAAGTGGAGACCTCTGAACTCGATGAAAAGGCCACGTATCACGGCATTCAGACACAAGTCTAGGCTCGGTGGGCTCTGATGTAGTCCTTGTGGTATGTGGACCCTGACGCATGATGTCCAGGATGAGATGCCCTTCTGAGGTTTACCAGATGACCAAATGGCCTTGCTCCAAGCTCTCATCTATCAATCCAAGTGGAAGGAGGGTGTGATGTCTGCTGTGTAGGTGATGGAGAGCGGACCTGTGCCAGGGTCAGGTTTTTCTATCCAAATGCCTGCTGGAAATCTCGCAATGAAAGCTACATATGAAAAACCACTTATATCTCTTTAGCACATTACTTTGAGCTTGACTCCTGGCCATGAAGAGGTGAATCGTTTCTGGGGTCTCGGCAACCCCACAGCTCACACGCAGCCCCACAGCTTGGCGGATTCATCCCACGAGGCTTCTTCAGATTATTTTATCCTCATGTCTCTGGTAACAGCAAGTTCCAAAGTACGATCAGGTTTTTATCCTTCAAAATTTGTATGAACGCATGTGTCCTTCCAAGCTTTCAGGCCAGATATCAGTGCTTGAGTGAATTATAGAACTATTTAATAGAAATAATAAAACATCGATACAAATATAAAGACATAATCAGTATAAAAGGCTTGTATTTATAAAAATACTTTTAGGTAACAGTTTTCCCCTGAGGGTTGACCACGCACGTTGCATCCATAAATATCGCTCAGCTCTGGTGCTTGCTTTTCCCAAGTTCGGAGTTCATTTCTGAAAGGAAATGGGTGGTGGCTCCAGTCCCGTGACCTGGCCGGAGAGGCTACCCCAGGTTGGCTCCTGGGCTTGGTAACGTGAGGAAGAGAACAGCGTCAGTGGGGCCTCCGAAAAATCTGGAGAAGATTCTTTCTTCCAAATATGGAAGATACAAAGAACAAGGACGACGGGCAAAATGACTGGGTCACGTGGCTGGCGTGGCAGGTCACTGGTTTTTCTGGACCCAGTCCCAACCATCTTCGTTCTCTTTCCGGTTTTTCTCAGCTTCAATGATTTCTTTGTACCTTCGGCGAAAGAAGCCCATCTGAAAGGCAGAGAGGGGAGAAGATAGGTTAGAATGCTGGAGAATCAGTAGTGGTGGTCCCCTGGGTGAGGAGGAGGGATGATACACTCACAGACCTGGGCGGGCTCGGAAAACCCCTGGGATGAGACCGCTTTAGGAAAAGCATTTTTGTGGTGCTACCTTCCAAATGCTTGGACTTGCTGCAGGCTATCTTATGACTGACTATTCCTTGTAAAGTGCTTCTTGTGGCGTGTTTCCCAAATGGTATGCCAGGGAACCCTGGTTACTGACCATGACTCAAAGACATGTATTTGGGAGCAAAACAGGTTTTGTGGTCAAATAAGGTTAGGAAATGCTGCATTCTTTCTTCCTTTGAGAGTTATGGAAGGCACAGAAGAACAGTCAGGGTCTAATAAAACCCTTAGTAAAGGATCTAAGATACTCAGGGACTTGACATTTCCTGAGTTCATCTGGCCTTTGATAAACCCATTATTATCCTGGGAGACATTAGTCGTTGGGTAATTGATAAATACTGCTCTCCCAGAATAGGCTGGTAAAAGTGTCTGCAGTCTACCTCACTGTCCCTCTAGATCTTTCTCGCAGACCTACGAGACATGCCTTGCCTGCACCCCAGCCAGAAGTGTGGACTCCCCGAGATTTGGCACCTCACCGGATCCAGGATGGCAGTTTGCTATAGCTTAGTTCTGGAAACGCCTTCCCCTCTGACGCCTTACAGTTTTTCACATACTGGAGGGCGAGTTTCTAGCTCTTCTCACCAGGTCATCACTGACTGCTGGCAGTAAGCCATTTTTGCAGCCCAGAGCTGATCTTCTCCCATGCTCAGGGGGACAAGGCATGTCTCATCCTTTGTTCACTGGCCACTGTTTCTGAGGTCAGACATCTGTTCCTGCCTCTGCCCTCAAACATGACTGGCTATGGGTTACTCCCGCCCCCTCTTCTTGGGTATGACAGCCCTCAGGTACATGACTAGCTTCCCCGTGGAACATGCTGGCAGGGGTAACTGGTGTTACGGCATCTTTCTTGGCTTCCTTCTCTTCCCTATCTCACTTCCCTGCTCTGATCAGTGTTTCCTGGGGTCACCTTGTGAATCAATTACCCGCCCTCAAACCCCTGTGTCAGCCCCCTTGAATGGAGGGACTCCAACAGCCATACACGTTCAGTCTGCTGTTGGCCGGTCTGTGCCACACCGGGAAGAGCTCACCCCAGAAACGTCTGCAGCGGACTGCCAAGAGCAAGTGTAAGCCCTGAGCTGGGGGAGTCATCACGCAAGCCCAGCTCTCGGGCACACATCTCCCCTAACTCCTTCAGTCTGAGCTGAGCCACAGTCCGGATGGTCACAACTCTCCCCCCCGCCCCCCTCGCCCCACCCCCCGCCCCCAAGAAGGGGCTGACTGGCCTCGCTGAAGATGAGAACTGTCAAGACGGCTGTCAGGAAGCATTTCTACCCACATTGCCAGGAGAACCCCGAGGGTCCACTTTGAGTGGAGTCAGGGAAGGGGTGGGTGTGGTCCGAGTGACCGGGAGGAGGCTTTCTTCAAACAACTGGTGAGGGCCTTGTGTTCTGAGCATCCCTCCTCATGGGCAGTTTTGCAGACAGACCCTGGCTTCCCAGGTTCTGCAGCCCTGGTGGTTTCTTCTCGGCACGCACCAGAACCCCATTTTCTGAGCCTGCCCTCCACGTCCCACCCCCCCCCCCCCCCCCCCCCCCCCCCACTTTCTCCCTTCTTAAATCTCTACCATCTTCTCTGCAAAGAATGTGGAACAGGGGCTTGGGCTGGATATTCTGAAAAAAGGCCCTCAGAGGACACCGACAGAAGGTCAGAAGGGCAACCCTCGCCTTACTGGAAAGGTCTAAGGCATTACTGCTTGGAATACTGTTACGATAAAGATGTGGGCAAATGTGTCACAGGCACCTTCTGTGCTAAAGAGCACATAATCATGAGGCTGAGGCTGGCTGTGACTGGGAATGAGATTCCGGAGCACAGAACTCTGCCCACGGAGGGTGGCCTGCTTCACGGGTCCCATGTTATGCACTCTCAGTTCCAGAGAAGTAACTCATCTCTACTGTGGTGCTGATCAAGCTGGATTTCAGCTGTACCCTCGTTTTCTTTCCCACTCATCTTAAGTCTTAGGACTCCCAGAAGGTAGGATTTCGCCTGTTTTGTCGCCGGAGCTGAGCATATCCCCTGAACCTGGGAGGAGTGATAAACGGCAAAAATGCCCGCCATCCTGCATTCCCCTCATCCAGGCCCTTTACCGCAGGACTCTGTGGCGGTTCCCAGCCGGAGACAGGGGCCAACGCCCTACCTTGAATCTGCACTGTGACTTGTTCTGACAATTTGGTTCCACACTTAGGCCTCAAGAGGCCTGGCACGCTTCTGCTTGCTCCCTCAGGACCCTGCCTGGCCTCCATATGACTGAGTCCGATCTCAGGGAGAGTGCACCCAGCTGAGGCCCGCCTAGACCAGCCAACCCCCCAGCCACCTGCAGGCGCACACATGACACGTCCAGCTGGGACAAGACAGCCCCCCTGTTCAGCTCAGTCCTGCCTACAGACCTGTGAGCTACATGGACGTTTGTCACTTTTAAGCCATTAAACTTTGGGGGTGGTTTGTTATGCAGCATGAGGTAGCTGATACAGTACTCCATGTTTTTTGGTCTGATTTACTGAGTGAATCAACACCCATGGAAGAGAGGCAGAGGGATAGCCGATACGGTTCTGGGTCTAAGGAGCATCACTGTACCTTGTCCTGCTGAACAGACTTTTCTTGTTCATCTCCAAGCGGCACAAAAGTCGATTCACTTTCTCATGGCTATGCCAGCGTCAGGATTTGAAATAGAGTGTGCAAACCATCTAGCAAAGACTTAGAGTACCTGGATTCCCTGTCTCATGTAGCTAGCATGTGCTCACGTTTAAGGGTGACACTTGTTACCAATGCTGTGAATGGCACCATTGTCTCCTGCAGGCATCTAGAAGCCAGCTCTTTTCTATCAAGTAGTGTTAGCGTTAGTCTTAAGAATCACCCCCCCCCATACACACACCTCTGGAATGACTGGAATGCTGCTCTCAGAAACAGCTTTGCAAACTCTGTGCCCTGCTCCAGCACCGCAGCATCTCAGAACACTTTGTCCCACCTAACCTGTGTGTAGTCTCTTCGATGGAAGGTTGGAGCCACTGATGTTTGCCCTGTCTATGAAGCTCAAAGGCCATTTCTTAAAACACAGTCCCCCTTCATGGTTAGTGAGTGCTAGGTACAGTAGTGTAGGCTGTGCACTGCTTGTAAAGGGGATGGTGCCCCTCACATCACAGATATCCTGGACATGTAAATGCATTACAACTATCTTCCACAAGATGGCAGTAGAGTGTCGTTCCCCGCCCCCCACAATGAAACAAAATCAGCAGCCGGTTTTCTGAATTTTCTGACACAGGGAAGTAAAGTTTCTAGACGAAGGGCTGCAGTTTAGTAGTCTGCACAAAGATGCCATATAGGCCAGTGGGGGTTCTGTCAAACTAATACACTTTCTTGCGCGATCAAGCTAATTCCATTTCTGTAAAAAAGAATATCACCTTTGTGCTTTTGTTTAGAGCCGAGTTCTGGCGTTTGATATAGGACCCACAGCCCAGGCTCTGAGTTTCCCGAGCAATGGCCCACCATAACTGTGTCCCACCAGGCCTGCCCAGTACTCAGGACAGATGTGGCAGAGGGAGCCCAGGGTCCTGATTACTGCTTACGCTCCAACTACCTCCTTCCTGCACCACGGGGAAGGTCATTTTCCGGCTGTGCCCCAGAGCCTGAAGGCATTCTGAAACCTCAGCTGAAACCCAGTGACAGCTTTTTATATTGGTCCCCAAAGTAAACTCAGGACTGCAGCTGTTTTCAAAGAGTTTTTGGAAATTTTGGGTAAACTGAATTTTCCATTTTTATATTGAAGTACAGATATCGTAAAACAGAGAGAGTCATACAATTCTGAAAATAAAGATAAACTGAGACCTCAAAGACAAATGTGGCAGGTCCTCCTCTCTCTCTGGCACACACTCTCACTCCCATTAGTCCTCACTGTTACTTCCAGGAAAACCTTTGAGACGTGCCGGGCAAACCTGTTTTTGCTGCCGGCTGAGCCCACTGGGAATGATCGGTGAGGAGTTTAATAAACTGGACCATCGGCAGCCACGCACTCAGTTTCAATCCAATGGAGTACATGTTGTCCTGTACTTTTTCTGGAACCTTCCAGGGCTTGCCTTGCTACTTGAGGGGCAAAAGGCTCTGTTTACAACTGTTCTATCTGTAGTGGAGGAAACATTCATGGAAACCCTAGAGGAGGAGAGACTCAAGCCAAGCTTTGCTCAGCTGCAAACAGGGGTAGCAGTGTGCTTTCTTGCTTTTTGTCTTTGCTGGGTCCTGATAGGAGCCTGCAGCCCCACAGAACTGCTCCCTGAGTCCTCCTGACAGACTCACACAACTTTCTGATGTAAACTTGTATCGAAAACCTGCCAGAAAACAACTAGGGGAAGAGCAGATCTCCTCTAAAGAACCCTCACTAGGGAGGTATTGCGGGAGGCCTGAGGCCTAGGAAGACCCCTCTGGGGTCTGCACCAGCCTCTTCCTTCCCTGCCCCTTTCGGGGTGAGTGAGGGACTAGCTGCCCAACTCCACGGCGTCTGGCCTCCTGTTTGATCCCCACCCCCGCCTTCCTGGCCCTTGGGTGGCCTCCTGGGCAGCCATTCCAAGGACCTCGGACACGCTCCTTCTTTGGACTAACTCGCGGCCTCGTGTTTACAGGTCTCTGCAGTTACTGGAGTATTTACACAGCATGTCTCTGTCTTGAGATGTCAACTGTACAACATCAGCCCAGTATTTACTTCTGAGCATAAACACGTCCCCACGGATTGTCTCTGGCACATGGTTTTAATTGAGACAGTGTGAAGGATGTTTGTGCGTGTGTGTACACACATGTGCACAGATATGTGTGTCTTCATTCTCTGGAGGAGAAGCAAGGATG